TTGCGCACGCGTGTGGGGGGGGGGGGGTCAGGGGGGGGGGGGGGCAAGGGGGGCTGTTTTTTTTGTTATTTTGATTTTTTAAATTATTTTTACACTGTCCCTTTAAAAAAATTTTTGTTATCACTTTTAATGCTATCACAGGGAATGCAAATATCCCCTATAACTTCAATGGGCATTGTCATATATTCTTTATTGAGAAATCTGAGGTCTATCTGACTTTAGATATCTCCTCTGCATTTACATTATCTAATCTCACCAAGATTGGTGTGATCAGATGCTTTCCCAATTTACAAATGTCGCTTTCTATATGCTGCGAAACTGAAGTGATGAAATGCTCGTAGCTTCCGATTTCTTAGACTATAGAGATGATTGGAGCCACTCTGGTCTCTGACCAGCTCTATGGTCAGCCAGCGGAACTGCTGGCTGCATTCTCGGATTCCCCTGTGGGACAGGAGAGCCCAAGAAAATTGTGGAAGGCAGCAGGAGGGGGGCCAATTTTTATTTGGCCACTAGGATTGTTTGTACATGAAAGCCGACCACTAGCTGACAAAAACAATACCAGGTTGATGCCTGTAGCTGCAGGCATCATCCCAGTATAACCACTCAAAGTCCAGAGACATACCAGTACATTGCTGGTCCATGTTGGGCATATATGTAACAGCAGAGAACACGGGCATACGATGAATTGGCTCTGTGGATCAACATGACCGCAATTCATTCTTTTCTGTAATGCCCATGTTGGGGGTTAGGCCCAAAAAGTTTTAAATTCAGAAACCGTGATAGGTTTCCATGCGACTTGTCTGGAAAAAGCTGAATTTGGGTGGTTGGCGATTTATTGTTGTGCGTATAAATTGCCTTGGCCGACAATCAACTGATACAAATCTTCCGAGAAAAACAGCAGAGGTGCTAAACACTAGTACTGGCAGCGAACAGGGCCGATCCTGCTAACTCTGCATTTTTGTGGACACTATACAAAGGAGGCATTAGAATAGTTCTGTTCATGATCAATATATTGATTCGTACAAACACTAAACTACTAATGGCGGTGATTAGCAACCTACAGCCTGAGTGCGATAGTGCGCGGGCAATCTAACGCTAGCTGACCCTGGGTGGGAGGGCTGCTTATTGACTCTGACGCTATCTGATGTCGCTAGTGGCAGGAATACAGTGATCAGTGAAAAATTCTATATACTGACACTGTACTAATAGCACTGGATGGGTGACGGGGTGATCAAAGAGTTAATAAGGGCGATCAAAGCGTTAAATGTGCTAATCTAACACATGCGTGTAAAATGTAGTGGTGCTTTTACTCGGTGCCGTGTTCTCTCTTCTCTCTCCCTGGACCGACGGATGGGGGAACGCAGGCGCATTCGCACCCCAAAATAGAAAGCAATGCATGATTACGTCGCTTTGCCAAGAGCTGCTGCTCGCCCGCGAAATGCAGGTAAGCGGTTGGAAAGTAGTTAAATTAAAAAAAAAACACTTATAAATTTTTGTTTTAAATTCTCAATGTCATATTTTTTTTTTTTTTACATTTTCATTGTACTTTTTTAATACTTTTATCAGAATAGTACAATGTTACCATAGTGTGGGGGGTAATCAGGGATTTTTTTTTTTTTTAAACTTTGCTTTCCAGGAAAAATAAAGATAATTTTTCATGCAACACAAAGCTTGCGGTCAGAACCCAACTCATTCATGAACTGTCATGAATGAGTTAAGTTTTGACAGCTCAGGATAGTGATTTGTGATTGGCTGCAGCTGGTCACATGGTACTGCGATTTGCCCCATGTATCATGTGACAGCTGTGGCCCAATCACAGCTCACTAGGAAGAGAAGCAGAGCTGTTGAATGACATTGATTCATAACAGCTTTGCTTGTGTTAGTTACAAGCTTTGCCTGTAGCGGCCGCCCGGCCACAGTACATTGCGGGCGGGAAGTGGTTAATGGTTGCCTACCATTCCTGTATACTCTATGTCACACAGTTATTTGTACTGTTAAATTTATGTTTTATATTTTTTATTCAATAAAGATTCTGCCTTTTTGGTAAAAAAAAAAAAGTGTCCCCTATGGAAAGTTTAGGGTACTGTTGCCATTTCACAGGTGCACGCAAATTTAAGATTTAACATGTTGGGCAGTTATTTACTAGGCGCAACCTCATCTTTTAAATCTTACCAAAAATTAGGTCATTTATTGCGTTTGTGTGCCCTGAAATGAACTTTTTTACTGAATTTTATTTGCATTTGCTAGACCTTTGTGGTAATATAGTGTAACGTAAAACTTGGAACTACCACTATTTTATTTTCTATGGTGTCTGTTTTCAGGAAAAATATACAATGTTTTTTTTTTGGGGGGGGGGGGGGGTTATGCAATCTTAAGGCCTAAAACAAATTTTTTAAAAGTATTAAAAGCATAGGCAAGAGGGGAGGGAAGACTACATTTTTACAAAACTTATATTAGCCTATGTTAACACTAACAGCAACATGGGTGCTTATTAACATTCATTTATGTAAAATCTTTACCCCAGATGGAAAAAAACTGTTGCTGCAACTAGCTGGAGTTAGGATTTATGCTTTTAATCAAGTCTGTCTAATTCTGCTAGTGCATTTATGCACCTTTATCCATAGTGGAGGCACAATAACACAGGAAGTGGTGTTACTGGCTGGGTCACCAGGAGTGAAAAACAGCCAAAAAACAAACTAACGCCACCACAATTAGGAAATGGTAAGCTGCAATATTTTAAATGTAAGTTTTGGTTTAATACCGCTTTAAAACAGTATTGTTACATCACATATATGAATACATCCTTAAAGCAAGTAACAAAATTGTAAGTGTACCTGTGACCAGGAGGTGGTCTCATAGCAATGCTCATTTCTCTCCAGTAAATGTTGGCCTGTTAAACTGGACATTACCAGGGAATGGAGTACGCTGTTCTTTGGGGAAAACAGAAAATCGTGGGTTCCCTTTAGGACCAATTGAGGCTCTTATATTTCCAGGATAGGGAGGTGGAGGTCTGTTAAAGACCTCGTGCTGCCGATGTGGGCTGTCTTGTTGCCACTGGGTAGGATGTGGACCTTGAGTCATCTGCAATGGATCCAACACCTTCTCATGTCGAACAGCATTCTTGGTTTGCTGCTGTCTCAGTATCATCTCCCTTAATTTTTGACGCTGTAAAAGGTTTTATAATATTATGTTAAATAAAACACTGGTTTTCATGACTATTAACGTATACAGAATGCATCCCAAACTTTGCTCAGTTTTTATCTTTGTTAATGACATGGCGTTTCACAAAGCACCAGGAAAAAAAAAAATCACTTTCTGAAGACTGTAAAAAAAAAAAAAAAATTGTCTGGGGCCCTTCAACTACCAAGATAAATGTACAATTACCAAAACTTTTTTTTTTTAAACTGGTTCTAAGCAAAGTAGTTTTTTACCTTAATGCATTCTTTGCATTTAGGCAAAAAAACAAAAACAAAATAAAAACCTTTCAATGCTTGTCCCCCTAATCCTTAAACAGCCCCGCTCTCCTCCTCTTCTCACCGTAGTCTCTGAGAGCAGTGGGAGCTATTGTTTCCTGCTGCTGTCAGTCAAATCCTGTGAGGACAGAGCAAGGGATGTGTCTATGGATGCATACAGCCCACACGGGTGCCCCCTCAGCACACAGCAGCTTGCTGAGAGAGCATTTGAAGAAGAGGAGTGCGCACAGCACCATTGCGGACCAAAAAAAAGGAGGCAAGCCACCACTGTGTGAAATATATTTACACAGAGCAGGTGACTATAACATCTTTAATAAAAAAAAAACTAATTTACTGTAATATCTATAAGATCATCACACTAATAAATGACAAACTGTGTAGGGTTGCTCTAGAAGGTTACTTCATTATATTAAATAAAGTGACATTTTCAAACAACTTATACTTTAAATACATCTCAATAAAGATTTAGGTTTTAACCATCAAACATACGAAGATCGAAAACCTCAACGTATAAAAAAAGTTATCTAGTATATTGTAACAAACAATGTTTAATTTAAAGTGTAGCAAAGAAAGAGTATGTACCTGTCTTGCTTTCTCTTCAGATTCTGCCATAGGTAGGTTTAATGAATTCTGAGCATCTGGTAAGCCAGACAATTGTTGCATATTACTAAACTGCTGACCTTGGGGGCTTGCTGAAATATTGGAAGACCCACTAAATGTTTCCTCTGGAAAAGTTCTTTGCTGATCACCAATATCATGGGAATCCCCAAATCCTTCCCCTGTCTGTATATGAGGTGTCCCTGGAGGATGATCATAAGGTTCCTGGTTGAGGCCAGATGACGTATGACTAAATAAGTCTGCTGAAACTGGGCCTGTTAGTCGTGAATTTTGGGAGCTTCCCTCAGATGTTCTGCTAAAAGGGGCTCCCCTGCCTTGTGTATTCTGCAGAAATGACTCTTGGTTCGATATTAATGCTGGACGAACCACTGAGGAACGAATAAAGTTTTCAGGACCACTGGGCATTGGAGTTCTTGGTGGCTGAGCATAAGGGTCAGAAAGTACATGCCTGGGAGTTCGACTAGGTTGAGAATAAGAGTCTGTGGGAAGAGGTCTTGGTGTTCCAGGGGGCTGAGAATAAGGGTCTGCAAGAACTGGCTGTGGAGTACTAGGAGGTTGGGAATAGGGGTCTAAAGGCATTGGCCTTGGAGTTCCAGGTGGCAAAGCATACGGATCTGAGGGCAATGCCCTTGGGGTTGCAGATGGCTGAGAGTACTGATCTGAAGGGACTGGCCTTGGAGTTCCTGGTGGCTGCCCATACGGATCTGATGGGGGTGGCCTTGGAGTTCCTGGTGGCTGCCCATACGGATCTGATGGGGGTGGCCTTGGAGTCGCAGGTGGCTGGGCATATGGATCTGAAGGTACTGGCCTTGGAGTCGCAGGTGGCTGGGCATATGGATCTGAAACTACTGGCCTTGGAGTCGCAGGTGGCTGGGCATATGGATCTGAAGGTACTGGCCTTGGAGTTGCAGGTGGCTGGGCATATGGATCTGAAGGTACTGGCCTTGGAGTTGCAGGTGGCTGGGCATATGGATCTGAAGGTACTGGCCTTGGAGTTGCAGGTGGCTGAGCATATACTTCTGATGGAACTGGCCTTGGAGTTGCAGGTGAATGAGAATAAGGATCTAAAGGCACAGGCCTAGGTGTATTAGGCGGTTGCACATATGAATCTGAAGGTGATGGTCTTGGCGTTCCCGGTGGCTGCGAGTATGGATCCATGCTATTCCTTGCAGGTGAAGCTACAAAGGAATCATGGTGTCTCTTATTCATAGATGGCTGAACAAATATATCTCCCATAACTGGCCTGGGAGTAGATGGAGGCTGACTATATGGATCCATTGCTTGCACAGATGGTCTTGGAGTTAGGGGCTGTTGAAGATAAGGGTCTACTGCTGTAGGTCTTGCAGAAGTTGGTGATTTTAAATATGGGTTATTTGCTGGACGTGGAGTTCCTGGAGGCTGAGCATATGGATCCTGGGCATTTGAGCGAGACAAAGATGCTGACTGAGGGTCACTATGCTGTCGCATTAGTCTAGGGGGATGTGCAAATGTTTCATTCATAGTACGATTACCATGAGGTGCTTGGTTATAAGGATCATGTGAAAAGGTTTCAGCAGGTCTGGGAGTCAAAACAGGTCTTTCATATGGATCTGTAGAGATACGTCGCGGCGTTGTGGGTAATAAATTGTAAGATTCTTGAGGCGACTGAGGTGGGCGCAAAGGAGTTTTAAAAGGTGCAGGGCTGCCAGGTGAAACACCTGATGTAGGGGTGAGAGGTGGTCTTGAATAGGGATCCACTTTTGGTGCTATTTGTGATCGTTGATATATTTCAGATCTGGAAGAATGCTTTGTAAAAGACTCACTGTTTACTGGACCCAGTGAACCATCTATCATCTGATCTGTGTTATGAGACAATCTTGACAGACCTAATGGCTTAGAAAAGGCATCAGCCTGGACCAAGTTCTTTTGAACATCTCCCATCATTAATGAGGGATCAGAGCTGGAAGGGGATGAACAAGAGTCCCTTATAGGAGATGGTCTAGCATCCGAAGTCTCACTCCCAGATATGTGTCTAGGAGTACAAATATCCATGGGTGACCCACAGTTCTTTCTGTGAAAATTCTGACTAGCAGGTGGGGGTCTTGGTGTCCCTACCATTTTAGCATAAGGGTCGAAGGGAGATGATGGTCTAGAGTTTGATGATCCAGGGGAAAACATCTGTGGTGAATGTGGTTGAGAAGACTGGAAGGAATCCTGGAAAGGTATTCTAGTGGGTGTGGGAGGTGGAGCTTGTGGTTTCAGAAAAACATCATCTGAGAATGATGCAGGTACTCCAGGCAATGTCTGTTTAGTAAATGCATCTTTACTAAAGTTCTGCTGAATTGGGGACATATTTTCGCTGTTCTGCTGAGGTGTTAAAGGACTCTGATTGCCACTGTTTGGAGTATCACTTCCTGACTGACTCAAATGATGTTGGGACCCAAACTGCTGCTGCTGTTGCTCATTTTTTACTTGCTCCAGTTTCTGGGTTGCTTCGATCTTTGCCTGCTGTTTGCTTTTCTGACGCATTTGCTGCAATATTAAACAGGAAAATCATAAGAAAGCAAATCTCCACATTAGGGTTAAGTTGCTTTTAAACAGATGGATGCTAATCATTCTAAAGTGTGGTTGTTTTTCTGCTATTTGCTATTGCCTGCTGACAGTCAAGCACAGATCTGCAATGATGATAGCAGTACTGTCAGAATGAAACATCTTGGATTTTTAAAAATTAAACTCATTCCTGTACTGAAAAGTAAGCTAAAAGTACTGTCAGGTGTAAACAAGATTCTGCCAAACCAAAGGAGCACGCTGCATCCAGGGCCTTTCACTATCTGAACAAAAGATCTGAGATGCATTGCTGCTCTATTATGCTTTGGAGCTCTATTATGCTTTGGAGCTCTACAATGGCCTCACAAAAAGGTCCAGGGTGCATCTGGACCAGAAGCAAAGCTGGACAAAGCTGAATATATATGCAGGCACCTTATATTGCTTGTATCCCAATTGTAATGTGTGCGTTTATTTTTTTTTTAAAGACAGACCTTCTCAGTTTAAAGAGAAGCTTAAATACATTTGCATTATTTGAGTTTGTTACTGGTACATTCATCAAAGCTCATAACTGATACAGCCTTTACATTTTTACTTGATAGCTGTACCATATTATAAGTATGAGCATGCTTACAGAGACATCAACATGCATTTATTTCTAACTGCTAAAGCTGGCCATACATTATACAATTTTCTGGTTCAATTGCCTTTAGATTTACCTTCAATTATGTAGTACAAGGGCCTGCCTGATTGCATACAAAAATGGAAAGTGTTTAGGTTTGACCTCGTATTATACGGTTTTGGTAAATCGAAAGAAAAATTGTATAATGTATGGCAAGCCAAAAGGTTGATTTCCTTTATCACACTACTCTCTGGAAGCAAGAGAAATCTGCAGCTGTGTAGACAAATTAATTCATACTGTGCTTATATGTTTCTTTAGAACCCTAATTTGTCCATAGATGAACAAATGCAGGGAACATCTGATTCAAAAAGTAGTATTGTTAGGCAGTAGGTTTTAACATGAACAACTGTTTTTAAATTAATATTAGTGTGTTTCATGCTGTACATTGTGCAATAAATAATATTTTGAGACTAATAATGCTGCTCTTACAAAACGCAAAACACTGTAAGAGTGTCTAAAGAAAACTGTACATGAAAATTTTCCAATCAAACTAAGTGGTTCTAAAGGCTCAAGGTTTTTACCTTCATGCATTGTACGTAGCAGCACCCCCCCCCCCCCCCCCCAACACTTACCTGAGCCCCATCCCGATCCGGCGATGTCTACAAGAGCCTCGGTTCTCCGGGGACTTTCACTCCTGATTGACTGAGGCAGCAGCAGGAGCCATTGGCTCCCGCTGCTGTCAATCACAGCCAGTGAGAAAATCAGGAGAGGGAAGGAACGGGATCAAGCCAAGGCTGTGTGTGTGTGACTGGCCACGCAGAGCCATGGCTCGGGAGTGTGCCTAATCTGGTGGCCCCACAGCAAGCTGCTTGGAGGAGCACAGGAGGGAGGGGCCTGGAACAACAGTGGGGCATCCCAGAAGAGGAGGATCCAGACTGCTCTGTGCAAAACCACTGCACAAAGCAGGCAAGTATGACATTGTTATTTAAAAAAAAAAAAAAAAAAAAAAAGAAAACAAGAGTTTAGTATCACTTTATCCTTCACCACTTTCAAACACAGACCAAAACAGAAAGCCTGTACCTGTCTATACTTCCACTCCTGTTCATGCTCAGATTCTCTCTGCTTTAAGGGATCTTTGAATGGATCAGAATCAATTCGGGTGCTGTTGTCGATGATCTCATGCTGTTGGCGCTTTAATGAGTCATTTGACATTTGCACTTTGTTAATTCGCAGTGCGGCACGGTTATCCCTGGCTTTTTGCTTAAAACAAGAATGAATATCATTATGGTTACAGTGCAAATAAAATCTACAAGGATTAATTGTAAATTGAAAAAAATGTTAAATATACCTGGCCCAAGGTCTCCTGAATGGTGTGTCTTTTTGCAGCAGTAACCGCATAAATATTGCGGATTCACCGGCTTCTAACCCAACTCTTGACTCTTCCCCTAAACTAGGCAACCATCCAATTTTTACCAGCGAAAGGAATCTTAATTCCCTGCAGCCAGTTCAGTAATCAATCCACCCAAGCTAAGTTGGTGTCCTTACTTTTTTTTTTTTTTTTCTTTAACTGAATTTCAGCAGTGAACATCAAGTATGATGCTTCTCTTTCATTGTAGGGGGAATAGTACCTATACTGTATTGTAAAACAGTACCCACATATAAGATTTATAACTGTGTACTTAGCCTTTTTGTTAGGAATTCCACTTTGAGTTTTGTTCTTACATTAACACATATAAGAAAAGTATGAACTTGTAGAATAAAAAAACATTTATACTCATCTAGGTGTTTGCAGCTTTGATCCAATACTACAGTGGGTATAGAAAAGAATCACCCCCTTTAAAATAATCACATTATGTTGCTTTGCAGCCTGAAATGAAGACACACAGTTTTTTGTTTTATCCAGCTTTATTTACTGTGCAACATTTAACATCCAAGTAATATAACACCAACATGTCAGAAAAACAATTAAAAAAATAAAAAACGGAATCACTGAGTTGGAAAAAGGATCACCCCTTGTGTCAGTATTTTGTTGAACTGCCTTTTGCTTTATATAGAGCCTTTAGTCTATTGGGATATGTTTCTACTAACTTTGCACATCTAGAGTTTGCAATTTTTGCCCACTCTTCTTTGCAGTATTGCTCAAGTTCAGTTAAATTTGATGGTGACCGTTTTTGTACTGCAGTCTTCAAGTCATTCTACAGCTTTTCAATGGGGTCATGCAAGGACATTCACCATGCAAGGACATTCACCTTTTTCCCTTCAAACACTGTGTGGTCATTTTTGCTGTGTGCTTTGGGTCATTGTCATGTTGGAAGATAAACATTCTTTCCAATGACAACTTTCTGGCAGAGGGCAGTGAATTTTCCTCAAGAATTGGACAGTATTTTATCCCAGCCATTTTTTCCTTCTACCCTGAGAAGTGCTCCAGTCTCTGCTGCAGCAGACCCCCCCCCCCCTTCCATAGCAGGATATTACCACCTTCATGCTTTACTGTAGGAATGGTGTTATTTGGATGGTGAGCTGGATTGGATTTCCACCAGACATATCGTTTGTTGTTGAGGCCAAATTATTCAATTTTAGTCACATCCGACCAGAACACCCTTTTCAATTTGGCCTCAGAATCTTCAAGCTGTGTTTTGGTAAAGTTCAGTCATGACTGCAGTGTGTGTGGCCTTTCTTTAGGAGTGGCTTTTTTTTGCAACCCTCCCATACAAGCCACATTTATGGAGAATCTGTAATATTATTGTCACATGCACACAATCACCACTCTGTCATAAATTCCTGCAACTGCTTCAGGTTGCTGTAGGCCTCTTGATAGTCCCTCGGATTAGTTTTCTCCTGTCTCTTTCACCCAGTTTAGAGTGATGTCCTGATTTGGGGAGGGTCTGTGTTCTACCAAATACCTTCTACTTCACTGTGTTTCTAGGCATTGATAAAGCCTTTGAATTGTTTTTTTTTTGTATCCATCTCCTGACTTGTGCCTTTCCACAATTTTATCCTAGAGATATTTTGACAGCACCTTGCCACCCATAGGTGATTGTTTGCTTCAGTTGCACTACCAGGGACTGAAATGCTCCAAGAAAGCGCTTTTCATGCTCAGCTAATCAAAATGATTACAGATGAAAGTCAAATGGCTTTGTGTGCCATTGAGGTGATTAGAACCTGATTGAGTTTACAAGTCAGTTTTAGGAGGGGGGTGATCCTTTCCATGTTGGTGTTATATCTTTTACTTGGATGTTAAGTTTCACAGCTGGATAAAACAAAAACTGTCTGTCTTCACTTCAGGCTGTAAAGCAAATGTGATTTTAAAGGGGGGTGGTTCTTTTCTATACCCATTGTACATCTGTTCCCTGCCAGCTCTGCAATGAAAATTGAGCAATCATACATCTCTGAGTGCTCAGTTCTCCCCCTCTACTCTGAGTGCTAGGCTGTGGAGGGGCTGGCTCAGGCTCTCGGCGTATTGCTGAGAGGCTGAGCCAGGTGCCGGGTCCAAGCTTCTGGGTGGATTCTGACCACATAGTCGGAATCTTTTCAGAGTCTGGACCAGATGAGTAACGCCAGCTGACAGCGGACTTTAGCTTGCTGCCGGCTGAAAATGGGTCACAGGAGTGCAGAACGAACCGTAACCTACAGGACAAGTATAGCCAAAATAGCTTTGACTATACTTCTTTAATCTTTAAAATTAACTCTAAGATTAAAGTGGTATTAAACCCAAAAGCAAACATTATATTGCAGCTTAACATTTCTTAGATGTGATCGTGGCATTTGTTTTCTTTTTTAGGCTTTCCTTCTATTCTCAGCTAGTGAGAAAGCCAACAAGTCTGTTTTTTAAAGAACAAGCTCTTCAGCAGAATTTATCAGTTACAGAGATGAGACAAACAATTTAACACTAACAGGCGTGCTTACACTGATCATCCTTTACATATTTATGTAAAACCTATAATCCAAAAGGAAAAACAAACTTCTTTAACTGCTTATTTAGTGTTAGATGTAGTTTAGCTTCAATTTGTTAGTGTATTTAAATCAGCTAATATATATAACACTCTCCTTCCAGCCAGAATGTCAATGCTGCTGTCCAAAGTGCGAGCACTCTTATAAGGAGGTGTGTTACTGATCAGATCACCAGGTGTAAACAGAGGGAAAAATATTAAGAAAGAAAACTTATGCAGATATAACTTCTACTAATTGGTTAGCTACAATATATTACATTTTTGTTTTGGGTTTAATACCACTTTAATTTCCAATGATAAGTTGACAAATTTTCCTTATCTGACAAGTCCTAAAATACAAAAATATCTTAATAGATGGCAGTCCATACAAAGTCACAAATGGGAATATTACCCATTATGAAAATTTTATTTTTTTCTACATATCTGTAAAATCCATTTCTTGGAGTTCATCACGAGACACAAAGCAGGCTATAATCATCACGATCTGGGTTATGCGCCACCTATAGGTGAATGGACACTAGCAGATCAAACAGGAAGTCCTCCCCTATATATCCACTCCTATACAGGAAGTATTTCAGTTTTGTAGCAATGAAATTACGAAATGAGGGGAGGGACCTCTGTGTCCAGTGATATACGGCAAGAAATGGATTTTACAGATAAGTACGTGGTAAAAAAATCCAATTTTCTTTATCATACATCAAGGGACACAAATCAGGCTATAATCATTACTATCTGGGATGTCCCAAAGCAATACATTTGAGGGGAGGAGACACAAATCCCAGACACAGTCATTAGTCCAAGGACCTATTCTGTCATTCGCAACACACTGCGGCCAAGTGCAGCAACCTCTGTAGCTCTAACAACCACATGGTAGAACCTTTTGAATGTATGAACCATAGGCCATGTAGCAGCCTTGCAAACCTAGCCACTGACACCTCATGGCGAATAGCCCAAGATGGCCTCACACACCTGGTAGAGTGCGCTCTCACCCAAAGGGTTGGACCATACCCTTCAAACCATAGGCTTGAATGATTAACTGGCGGATCCAATGAGAAACAGTTGGCCTGGATGCTGCCTGCCTTTCCTGGGCCCTTCTGGCAGCACAAACCATGATTCCTGACCTGTGTCGCCAAACTCAAGTAAATCCTGACCACCTGAACTACGTTCAGAGTATGCAGCGATCCTTCCCCTGCTGACTATGGCCTAGGAAAAAAGAAAGGCAAAACACTATCCTGATTCAAGTGAAAACTAGAAACCACTCTAGGCAAGAAAGATGGATGAAGAAGCAACATCATCTCATCATGATGCAAGACCAAGAACGGCTCCTTACATGAAAGGGCCGCCAGCTCTGACACTCTTCTTGCTGTAGTGATAGTAACCAAAGAAGCCACCTTCCGAGTAAAAAGACTAATGGAGCTTCTTGAATTGGTTCAAAAGGTGGCTTCTGCAAGGACAGCCAAGACCAAGTTCAAGTCCCAAGGACACAAGGATGGTCTGACAGACTGAGTCATCCACATTACACCCTGCACAAAGTATGAATCAAGCTGTGAGAAACAACAGTCTCTGAGAATAAATGGATAGACACAAAATCTGACCATTAATGGTACCTAAAAGAGTTCCAGTTTACTATGCAGTCCCACAGGGACACAGTTGGTCTACAGCTATGCAATCACACAGGCATGCAAGCATGCGGCTATGCAGGTACACAGGTATATAGTTATGAAGGTACATAGGTATGAAGTTATGCAGATATACAAGTATGCCTATATGCAGTTTAGTTTATGCAACTTTACAGGTACTCAGCTATGCAAGTGTGCAGTTAATACAAATACGCAGTTCACATAAGTATGCATGTGCATATGCAGTTTATGCGTTCAAGTGTGCATATACGTATGCAGTTTATGCAAGTAAAAATATGCAGCTTATGCAAATCTACAGTTCAAATAATTTTGTAGGTATGTATGCAATAATGTAATAAAATGCTGCACTTGCTCCGCTTTCTAGAAGCGTACTGTTTCATCAAGGAACTGTGTCAAAATTTACTGCACTGGGCCCCATACTAGTTTCGCAGGGCTAGACAAGCACATATGCATCAAACACAGCCTGAATGCAGCCTCTATGCTGCTTCAGTGCAGTCTAAATGTAAGCTCCTGCATATCAAATGCAAGCAATTCTGGAGCAACAACTCCTATAAGCGCACTGATACCAGTGCAGGGGTGTATCAGAGAACCATTGTACAAGCCCCCCAAGATTATGCAGACTAATGCAGTGTATAATCGTCTCCTGTCTGGTCATGCAGCTCCCCCACAGGTAATACTAACACATCATCCAGCCATATACTGCTCCGTGTCCCTGCTGTCTCTCAGGAGCCTTACTGATCCTTAAGCCCACAAGTGATTTCAAACCTTAAGCCAAAATGGCTACCTCTCTACTTCCTGCCCCCACTGCACAAGACTAGACTATACAGAGGCCCTGCAGCTGCTGGTGGCTGAAGGAGAAAACTGCAGCCCAATACTCCTTCAGAGACACACAGAGCATGGCCCGCCCAGACCAAACAGCACAATGCCCCTAGTGTCCACTGGGAGAATGACCAGACATTAAGGATTTTTAAAGAATCACTGCAAATGTAAACTTACCATTCCCGCCACAGGACTCATAATAGGAATCATAAGAGAAGTCTAACCTTCACCCACCATGGCGGGCTGTGTCATAAAAGACTTTCAAGGACTCGGTCCCCCTTACATCTGGGGTCCACCCCTTTGGACCTGTATAGCACCTTGCTGGAAAGCACCTTGGTCAGAACAAACACTGCACAGGGTTCCATTATGCAGGGTCCAGCGCTGTAAGGCTGCATTACAGGCAAACCTAAAGTATTCTTCTCACCTATCCAACGAGGCTTGGGTACCATCCATTTTAGCCAACAACTTTCTGAATGGATCTTATTCCAGTTCTTGATTCACAGAAGAACTGCTCCGGACCTCCAAGTATGCTCCAAGAGCACATTTGTGACTATCCACCTTACAGACACTGGCTGAGGGGGGGAGGAGAGGAGTGGGGGTTATATAGGGGTGTACTTCCTGGTTGATTGATCTGCCAGTGTATATTCATCCATAGGCAACGCATAAACCAGATAGTAATGATTGTAGCCTGCTCTGTGTCCCATGATGTACAAAGAAATAAGAAATTCTGTAAAGATCTCCAAAATTTCTGAAAAATATGCACATATTACTATAGGAATATTAAACTGGGCTCTAACCTACATCTGGATTACTGGTGGCACTGGAGGCGCTTGGACAAAAGGCCAGAAATCTCATATTTTGAAAAATCAGACATTAATGCGTACATTTTAGGTTAACCTGTACTTTGCATACAGTACTCAGAGGGTCCATGCAGCACAATCACTATAGGCTACAAATCTGCTTTTACTATTTTGAATACGCTCACCGGCCACTTTATTAGATACACCTTGCTAGTATCAGGTTGATTCCCCTTTTGCCTTCAGAACTGCCTTAAATCTTTTTGGCATAGATTCCATAAGGTGTTGGAAACATTGCTCAGAGATGTTGGTCCATATTGACATGATAACATCACGCAGTTGCTGGAGATGTGTCGGTTGTACATTCATGATGCGAATCTTCCGTTCCACCACATCCAGAAGGTGGATTATGATCTGGTGAATGTGGAGGCCATTGGAGTACAGTGAACTCATTGTCATGTTCAAGAAACCAATTTGAGATGATTTGAGCTCTGTGACATGGTGCATTAACCTGTTGGAAGTAGCCATCAGAAGATAGGTACACTGTAGTCATAAAGGGATGGACATGGTCAGCAATACTCAGGTAGGACATGGCGTTTAAACAATGCTCATTTGGTACTAAGGGGACCAAAGTGTACCAAGAAAATATCCCCCACATCATTACACCACCATGAGCCTGATTCATTAATACAAGGCAGGGTGGATCCATGCTTTAATGTTTACGCCAAATTATGACCCTACCATGTAAATGTCACAGCTGAATTTGAGACTTATCAGACCAGGCAATGTTTTCCAATCTTCTATTGTCTAATTTTGGCGAGACTGTGCGAACTGTAGCCTCTGTTTCCTGTTCTTAGCTGACAGGAGTGGCACCCAGTGTGGTCATCTGCTGCTGTAGCCCATCTGCTTCAAGGTACCATCCAGAGATGACATTCTGCATACCTTGATTGTAATGAGTGGTTATTTGAGTTACTGTCGCCTTTCTATGATTTAGAACCAGTCTGCACATTCTCCTCTGACATCAATATTGTATTTTCGGCCACACAATTGCCGCTCGCTAGACATGTTCTCCTTTTTGGACTATTCTCTGTAAACCCTAGAGATGGTTGTGCATGAAAATCCCAGTAGATCAGCAGTTTTTTAAATACTCAGACCCGCCTGTCTGGCATCAACAACCATGCCACATGCAAAGTTACTTAAATTCCCTTTCTTCCACATTCTGATGCTCAGTTTGAACTTCAGCAAGTTGTCTTCACCAAGTCCAGATGCCTAAATGCATTGAGTTTCTGCCATGTGATTGGCTGATTAGCAATTTGTTTTACCAAACAACTGAACAGGTGTACCTAATAAAGTGAGGTGAGTGTATATGTTGCTTGATTAGCAGACTTTTCCCACTGTGATCACTACTTTCTTCTTCTCTGGCAACCTCAGTTATTGGTATATGATGTTTTAGACCCACTTACCACATATGGGGCTCTTTCTTGGGAGCTGGCTTTCCTCCAGAGTTTTGCAATTTGCTTCACTCGTGTAGACCAATCTAGACACAGAGAAAAAGGAGTCCTAACTAGTTGTGGGCAATGACTGACTTTATATAGAACAAAAATAAGCAGCCTAGTGATCAAAAGAGCCTATAACAAGAATGGTTCCAGCTGTCCATAGAAATCATAGGAAAATAAGACAGCTTTTCCTTTAGGCCCTTTTGATCAAGAAACTTAATGCTTTTTCCAAGTTGTCTTACCAGGAAACTCCTCCTTTAAGTGTGGGAAATTAACATTGGTATATAAAACAGGGGCAACAGTTGCCATCTCTCCAAGAGCTTCTTCTTTCTCCCATTTCTGTGTACTCCTTTGGGCACTGGACATGGTGTCTCCCTCTGGCTCCATAACGGGAGCCTGTGCTGGCCACACATTTGTGGGGTCGTTTACCATGCCATGGTATACCGGGTTCTTATCCCTGTTTACATATAAACTGTTATTAGTATTATCGATTTATATGGTGCCAACATCTTCCACATTGTTGTACAGAGTGAGGACCAACAGAAGCTGTAACAATGATATTAACCCCTTCACGCCGTCACACAAGCATGCAGCCTCAGAGAACTGGGATTTTTTCCGTGGGGCCGCATACTTGCGTACCTGTCTTTGTGCTGAGACTGCGCTGCACCGCGTGCTCCCAGCACAAAGACCGGGATGCCACGGAGAGCCCTGGGTCCCGTTCTAATGATTGGGACCTGAGACTCCTGATTCCGGGTCACATGATTGCTGTGATAGCCTCTGATTGGCTGCTACAGTGATCAGTCACTGTAAAGCCCACCCCCCTGTGTTTTTTTTCTGAAAGGAGGCGAGTGATACATTGTATCTCTCTCTCTCCTTGCAGAGAGAAGTAAAAAAAAAAATAAATATAAACAAATTAAAGAAAAAAATACCTAGATCAAGGTTTGATCTAGTTCAGTTCCAGAGTTAGTATTTGGGTCAAGGTCAGGTTTTTTTTTTTTTTTTTTAATTGGTATCAGTGTCAGTTAGTGTCAGTGTGTTGTAGGTAAAAAAAAAAAAAAAAAAAAAAATGTGAACTATTGTCTCTGGGGTGTAGTACAGGTACAAACAACAAATGACATACACATATATGGTATTGTTGCAATCGTCAAGAGTTGGAAAATTTATTTTGGGTTGTTCTACGGTAGTAGGTTATGGTAGTAACAAAAAACACACACCTAAATTAAAAAAATATATAATTTTTTTTTTTACTGTTTTGGGCCACTTTTCCTTTGATAATAAAAAAAACAATCAGGAGATATCCATTACCATCAAATGAAAGCCCAATTTGTCCTGAAAAAAAAAGAAGGTATAATTCACCTGGATGTACAAAGTAGTTGTGATATGTACGGTTTTACTAACACGTGTCAAAGTTGTAAAATTTTACTTGGGCTTTAAGATTTGTTTTACCCTTAGGCGTGAAGGGGTTAAAATACACATTCATACATAAAACAAGACTGACAACCCTGCACAAATGAAGATACATTTCAACACAAGGGAAATGAGAAAGACAGCATTCTTCACTTTGCTGCTTCTTTCCAGAATAATGACAAGGAAATGACGTTTTGTAAACAGAGTACCTGTTGTCCGGAAATGGTGGCTGTGTTAAGGGAGAGAAAGGGCCGAGTCCATGTCCAGGGCCGAGAGGATTGTGTGGTAAGTGAGGATTGGGTGGCAACAAGCCATTCACAATGGGCATTCTTGGAAACAGGCCATCACCTTAAAAGTTAAAAGATGACACAGTTTCTTTCTGCTAAGGAAGAACTTCAACATGAATATATTACATAGGCATATTTACTGTAGCATAACAATCAAACTACTGATAGGCAGAAACTAGTACACTGGGCCAAGGTTAGGAATTCCACTTAAAGGTAACCTGTAATCAGATCATATGAAGCAAACAGGCACCATAAAATGCCTGCTGTGTACATCGACATTACCTCCCACTTCCGTCACAACTGTATCTCTGGAAGTCTCAAACCTTTAGGCATGAGGTGCACATGAGGGGTACCCCTCCCCAAAAGTTTCATTATTGAAAGTGGGATAATAATGGGGCTCCCACTTTCGCTCCGATCGAATAGGTGATTGGAAGCGGAAGTTCTCTGCATACATTCCCCAAGCAGTCTTATGGGACCTGTCACTGACAAGTGACAGGTCCCAGAAGACTGCGCGGCTCTGGCATGCACAGTGGGCACTCCGCTGTGAAGCTGCAAGCTGCCACAGCCTGGTGTCCACAGTTAAGATGCATGCGCCGAAGGAAGATGAGAGATGAAAAGGACTGGGGTGAGCACATCACTGGATCATGGTAAAGGTGAGTGGCTGTTTATTAAAAGCCAGCAGCTGCAGTTTTTGTAACTCTTAATTTTTATACAGGAGACTGGAGCTCCACTTTAAGGTGGGACTTTACTTAAGTTCTGCCCATAGGATGTATCTGTGCATCCTTGGGTTGAAGTAATTATACCGAGGCCATGGCTGCAGCTGATGTCATGACCCTGCTATCAGAAAGTGATGCTGAATAATGTAAAAGCAATTCGAGTGAATCGCTAGATCACTTTTAAGTGTGCTGCATGACTTTCCTGGCTCTTCGATTCCACAAGGGACCCTTGGGACTGAAGCCGGAAGGAAGGAGAATTTTGTCACTTCCAGTTTTGCTCAGATGCAAACAACCCATTACTGGCTTGTGAAAGCATTTGATCAGATCGATCTTGGGGCAGAGGAGAGATGTGCAGTCTAATAGACCCCAGATCTCTCAGTAAAGAGTACTTGGCACTGCCCATGTTATCACAAGGGATATTGTTCATTCCTTGTCGTAGCAATAAATGTGATTAAAAAATATATATATATTGTAAAGAGAGAGTAAAAAAAAAAGTAAAGCACCCCCTGCGCTCGCGCGTAAAGGCGAATGCATATGTAGGTCCTGTATGCATATGTAAATGGGTGACTTCATCACAGATGTGAGGTATCTGCAAAAATTCTAGCACCAGACCTATGTAACTCAAAACTGGTAACCTGTAAAGGCTTGTAGCCTCCCTAGCAGTCTGATTGTGTCAGTATTTCTGTGCTCAAAGCGGTACATTTTTTTGCATGGAAATATGTAGTTCTTTTTTATTGTAGGCCTGTAATTTTTAGGAATAACTCACTGAAATCTGTCCAAACAAGAGTCTAGTAAACATCCCGGGTATGTTAAAATTTGAAACACGAAATCATAAATTATAATTTAATAATCATTAAAAAATAATAATATAATAAATTTAATTCAATAATATAATCAAAACAAAAACACTGAAATTTGAAATAGAGCGCCAAGTTCACACATCACTGAGCAAACTCTCAAAATCGTTTTCAGTGTCTGATGACAAATTTCCCCCACGAATCATTATCACTCAATTCTGCAAGTGGTTCTGATTTACTATCGCTGTTCTCTAGCCGGTCTAAAACCGCTTTTGCTCTAAAGGGACGCTTTTTGGATGCCATGGACATTTCTCAGTTTCCAGGCAGAAAGAACAGTAAAAATGCAGGCAGGGCACAGGACAAAGCACTAGGGACAAAATGTATGTGAAATGGTTTGATACAGTAATGTTTTACTATGTGATTTTAGTGTATTGAATGAATGTCACTTATTGACATTTTTAAATTTCCTGCAAGTTCCATCCTCAAACATCCGGATATAGCAGATGCCGGCATCGGCCGGAGGACATTGCCGGGTGGACATCGCGGGAGCGCAGGACAAGGTAAGGGATCCCGGAGCAACGCTGCAGGGTATTCCCAAGTGTAGCTCGAGGTTACCGCTTGTGGTGCTGAAACTTTACCACGAGCTACACTCTGGAATACCTCCAGGGAGGTTAAAGCGTTGCCTACGGAGATTTTTAAGTACCATAGTTTGTTGCCACTACATGGGCATGTGCAGTTTTAAAACATGACATGTTGGGTATTTGCTCGGCACATCATCAGCTTTTATATTTTACAGAACAATTGGGTGTTATATTGCATTTTTGTGCATTAAAATTAATTAAAAGGTTTTTTTTTTTCTTTAAAAAAAATTGCATTTGAAAACCCGCAGTGCAAATATCATGTGACAAAAAATTCGAAAACCCACAATTTTATTCTTTAGAGGTTCTTTTTAAAAAAATATATATACTTGGGGGTTCTAAGTAATTTTCTAGCCAAAAAAAGCTGATTTTTACAGGTAGAAAAAAAAATGTCAGAATTGGCTTGGGAGTTAAGTAGTTAATATGACTACTGGTTTGACTGTAAGCTCCTTGATGACAGGGGCTGATGTGAATGTACAATATATAAAGCACTGCATAAATTGACAGCAATATATAAGTACCTGTAATAGATAAATAATAATATAGCGGTTTGCTTTAGAATTAAGCAGAGTACTATGAAACACAATGGAACCAGAAAGTCAGACTCTGGTCAAGATTTGTATTGTACAAAACCTCTTAGGATCCACTGTGCTAAAAGAGCTGCAATAAGCTTAAAGACATGCTGGTGCACACACTAAGGAACGCACATGTCTGAATCTCTGCAGGCTCAGATTCAAGGCCATTTACAAGAAAAAGATATGTACAACAATAAGGATTTGGCTACATAGGAGTCAGCCATACAAGATAATACAGGCAGTCCTGAGTTACAAACATCCGACTTGTATACGGCTCATACTTAAGAACAGAGGCAGCATGACGTCACACTGGTCCCAGAACCCACCAGGCGGACATTTTGCTGCTCACTGCCTGCTGTTACCTATCTGGCGGACCTATCAGCAATCCCACATCCCTGCATAGCCAGTTAACACTCCCCTATGCTATCCAAAACTTTAAAATAATTTTTCTAGTTGGAGTTGCAATTAAAAAATGTACTTGTTCCAACTTGCATACAAACTCAACTTTGAAAAGGGGAAGTTTCGCTTTAAGCCTTTGTCCCCCGCTCCCCATTAGGGATTGGCACATTTGGGAAGCGGGGACCCGAATTTGACAGGTAATCGCTCCCACTTCCGCTGCTATAGCCTAGACGATCGGAAGCGGAAGTTGTCCATGATAAATATTTAGAGAGCACACAGGAATGAATAACATATGGGTGCACAAAAGTGGAGTTTCTGTCTATATGGACTAAGCGGATACCTAGTTTGATTTCCAGATGATGAAAGAACAAACATGATTGGTCCCCATCCCAATTTTTTTACTGATCTTCTTTTGCTTAAATAAATAAACTCCATATTTACTATCAAAACCAGCCAAAGGCATACAGTGGATATAAAAAGTCTACACACCCCTGTTAAAATGTCAGGTTTCTGTGATGTGAAAAAATGAGACAAGGATAAATCATTTCAGGACTTTTTCCACCTTCAATGTAACCTATAAACTGTACAACTCAATTGAAAAACAAACTGAAATTTTTTAGGGGGGGTAAACATAAAAAAACTAAAATAATGTGGTTGCATAAGTGTGCACACCCTCTTATAACGGAGGACGTAGCTATGTTCAGAATTAAGCAATCACATTGAAAATCATGTTAAATAGGAGTCAGTACACAACTGCCATCATTTAAAGTGCTTTTGATCAACTCCAAATAATGATGTTCAGCTGTTCTAGTAGGTCTATCCTGACATTTTCTTAGTCGCATCCTACAGCAAGAGCCACGGTCCGCAGATAGCTTCCAAAGCATCAGAGGGATCTCATTATTAAAAGGTATCAGTCAGGAGAAGGGTACAAAAGAATTTCCAAGGCATTAGATATACCATGGAACACAGTGAAGACAGTTATCATCAAGTGGGGAATATATGGCACAACCGTGACATTACCAAAAACTGGATGTTCCTCCAAAATTGATAAAAAAAGATGAGAAGAAAACTGGTCTGGGAGGCTGCCAAGAAGCCTACTGCATCATTAAAGGAGCTGCAGGAATATCTAGCAAGTACTGGCTGTGTGGTACATGTGACAACAATCTCCCGTATTCTTCATATGTCTGGGCTATGGGGTAGAGTGGCAAGACGGAAGCCTTTTCTTTTGAAGAAAAGCATCCAAACCCGGCTAAATTTTGCAAAACCCATCTGAAGTCTCCCAAAAGCATGTAAGAAAATGTGTTATGGTCTGATGAAACCAAGGTTGAACTTTCTGGCCATAATTCCAAAAGATATGTTTGGCACAAAAACAATACTGCACATCACCAAAAGAACACCATACCCACAGTGAAGCATAGTGGTGGCAGTTTTTGGGGCTGTTTTTCTTCAGCTGGAACTGGGGCCTTAGTCAAGGTAGAGGTAGTTATGAACAGTTCCAAATACCAGTCAATATTGGCACAAAACCTTCAGGCTTTTGCTAGAAAGCTGAACATAGAGAAACTTCATCTCTCAGCATGACGACCCAAAGCATACATCCAAATCAACAAAAGAATGGCCTCATCAGAAGAAGATTAAAGTTTTGCAATGGCCGAGCCAGAGCCCAAGACCTGAATCAGATTGAAAATCTGTGGGGTAATCTGAAGAAGGCAGTGCACAGGAGATGCCCTCGAAATCTGACAGATTTGGAGTGTTTTTCAAGGAAGAGTGGGCAAATATTGCCAATTTAAAATGTGCCATGCTGATTGACTCATACCCAAAAAGACTGAGTGCTGGAATCAAATCAAAAGGTGCTTCAACAAAGTATTCGTTTAAGGGTGTGCACACTAATGCAACCATATTATTTTAGTTTTTTATTTTTATTTCCCTCCACCTAAAT